CACCACCATTCTATCTCACCAGGACTTCGGGATCATGATAACCAAAGGCAAGCCGAAGACGGCCACTTAACCAACTGAGCCACCCGGGCGCCCCAGCAGGGATTGCCCTTATTGCCAATGTCCTATCAAACCTCAGGCTCATTCTTTTCACTTCTTCCATATAAATACTTCCCCAACATGAGGAAACTCCAAAGACTTTCATTTTAGGGGGAGCAGGATGGCCAGGTGAGGGGATACAAAGGCAGTTGACTTTCCTGTCAAAGGCCCAGTCAGCACAAGCCACCCTCTGGATCTATTTCAACTGTTCCTCCCCCCCCCCCCCCCCCCCCGCCTCCTAGTTTCCTAGCTCACAAACTCCCAGACTCTGATTCTGGATTTATTTCTTGGATCTCTGACTCCTGACCTGATTCATCTTGGGTTTTACACCATTCTTTTTATTTTTTATTATTTTTTTTTTACACCATTCTTTTTAATGAAAGCCTTGGGAAACACCCATCCCACCAGCTGCATGAGCATCTACCGTTAACCACAGCCCTCTGGCACTGTGCCCTGGGACACAGCTGAGGGATGGAGCCGGTGCATGGGGCCAATCACAGGGACAGGATATGTGGACAGCTAACACGTACTGAGTGCCTTCCATATGCTAGTCACTGGTCTAAGCAATTCACACTTAGCAATCTGTTAATTAATTTAGTGTCACAACAACCCAGGGGAGTTGCTTAAAACCTGTATCTTCAGGACACCTGGATAGTTCAGTCATTTAAGCAACCAACTCTTGATTTGGGCTCAGGTCATGATCTCAGGGTTGTGAGATTGACCCCCCCCCATCAAGCTCAGCACTGAGCATGGAGTATGCTTGAGATTCTCTCTCTCCCTCTGCCTGCCCCTGCTGTCACACACGCGTGCATGCTCTTACTTTCTCTCTTTCAAAATAAATAAATAAAATCTTTAAAACAAGTATCTTCATAATTCCGAAAACAATAGCACAGAATCATAAAGGAGTGCTCTGAACAGCTGCTAACCACTACACGACTGAGATGCAATATTAAATTTGAAAGCTACAAAATTAGGCCAAGTGAAATGAAAATGAAGGGTTTCTACTGTGCCCACTCATTTGGAACGGCAAGTAGAAATTTTACATTTAACCGATCTCTGGACAAAACGGTGTTAGAACTCAAAAGAAAAGACAAAAAAGCTACTAGACTCTGTTCTTAAAGATGAACAGGAACTGGTGGCGTAAGTAGCAAGGGATGAATAACAGAATTCTAGAAATTTCAGCACAAACTCCCCAGTCTTGCCAAGAAGAGGAAGCCTAAATAATCGTCACGTAAGTTTCTCAATTTTAATATTTCACACTAGTAACACCGAGAAAAAACTAAAAATGAGACGTTTAAAATAACAATATTATCACCTTGCCTAGCACAGTGTTCCAAGTCTCCTGACAGACCTGTTGCTTTGCTCTTCACCCCAACCCTGCGGAGGCTAATGCAACACTGCGCTCCGTTTCCCAGAGCAGGAAATGCCAGAGAGGGAGCGGACATAACCTGCCCAGGCGTGGGTCTGCCCAGCCTGAACACCACCCCAGCCCATGCCAGCACTGCACCCTATCCCGTCGGGCCCCTCTGCCCCCAGCTAAGAGTACTGGAAACCCCCGAGTGAGGGCAGAGTCATAGGACCAAAATATTATTTTTAATTCCACAATGAAGTAATATAAATACAATTTTAATTAGGGAAAATAGGCCTGAGGAACCAAAGGTTGCTGAGAGAGTAAACCGTCAGGGAAATGAGACTTTCATAAGAGCTTCTGAGGGACCCCTGGGTGGCCTAATGGTTGAGCATCTGCCTTCAGCTCAGGGATGATCCTGGGATCCTGGGTTCGAGTCCCACATTGGGCTCCCTGCAGGGAGCCAGCTCCTCCCTCTACCTATGTCTCTCTCTCTCTGAATAAATAAATAAAAATAAAATAACAAAGGCTTTAGACAACTTTAAAAAATAATCACAATAAGCCTTTGACTAGGTTCCAAATTTAAAGTGTTTTTCATTAAGCTGTTATGGATTTGGAATATTTCCATCTAAACAGACAAGTCTGAGGGTAAAGATAAAAAATGAGAAAGTGATAATAGAGTCCTCTAGGTATTTCTACTGATGCCAATCATATTTAACATGTGTCATGAGTGCTAACAGTGAAGCAAACAACGAAATGTTCGAGATTGCAGAAAAACTCCAGATAAAAAAATTATTTGTTTTATTTGTTTATTTATTTTAAGTAGGCTCCACACCCAACATGGGGCTTGAGCTCATGACCCTGAGATCAAGAGTCACATGCTCTACCCACTGAACAAGCCAGGCACCCCTCCAGGTAAAATTTTATGCCATTGGAAGAAAACTTTTGAAAAAAAAAAACTTAAGAAACTGGATAAGTGAACAGACAATGGCAGAAAAATTTCAGAATCAGTAGCACTTTTACTATTACAGGACTGATGCATCACAGACTAAATTAAACACTATTGCAGAAAACAACCTAAAGAAACTTTTCTGATTCATTGCTGGCCATCATCAAAGACAATACTGTGCAACCAGAAGAAAACTGAAAAAAAGATTTAAGAAAGAAAAAAAAAAAGATTAGGAAACAGGATGACTTCAAAAAATAAAAAAGAAAACAGGGTGACAAAAATAAGCAAGGACCTAAGTGGCTCAAGCAGATCTGGAAAGGTACCCTTTTCCCACTCCATTTATATGTCCCTTTGCCCTTCTACTCCCCGCCGGGCACCGAGTCCTCCTCCTTCCTCAAAGAAAAGAAAAACCAAGGCCAAGAGTCTTGTTGGGGGTCTCAGACCAACAATTCTACATTAAAATCTTTGAGAGTTCAAAAGGAACCACCACTCAGCGTGAGTTCTGAAGAATGATAAACCTTGATGTCTGCCTTTTCCTTTTTACAAAGAACAGCTGGTTGGCTGGTAAAATCTGAAGGCGATTTCAAAGAGAATCTGTCAGGAGTTCTCTATTCTCCTCTCACAGGATTTTAGAGGGAAGCCTCAAAGCGGCAGAGTGTATCACGGGCCTACAGAAAAGGGCACAAACCGTTAGCACCCGACATGAGGGATATTCCAGAGTAAACTCTGGTGGGTCAAGGCATGGAACACCACCGGGGCCTGACAGCCCCAGTAACCACCACTATCTCCCTCCACCATCCCCCATCCCCTGGCAGGCAGAGGGAGGGCAGGGCACTCAGTCCCCTGGAGCTCACTCCCTCCGGAAAACTATCACATTGGGTCTGCTCCTCAGCCTGACCTTCCAGAAGCTGCCACAGAGACTCTGAGCTGTCTCCTGGGGAGCTTCTTCCTTGGTGGGCCTGAATCGAAGCTTTGGTCTCCCCAGTGATGTAAAGCTACCATAATCCCCACCCTTCCATTCGGTTGCTTTTTGCTGGTTAGCCTCTTGACAGCTTAGCAGCAAATACCTCAAGAGGAAAGCCACTGCTGGTCTCAGGCTCACCCCCTGGGTCTTCTTTGCCTCTGGGATGTTGGGCCTCCAGTACTGAGCACCTTTGTAGTCCTTCCACTCTGATCTTTATCTCTCCAGGCCCAAGAGATTGCCTAACTCTCTGCAGGCGTCTCTGCTTCTCAGGCCTCTCAGCTTTTGCTTGTCAAAAACAGAAGAGCCTGTGGACACCAGAAATGGGTAGACCCCAGTAAGGGAGGCACGGTGGTGCGGCATGTCTGCTGCGACCAGGCGCAGTGCTCTGCTCAAAGGAGCTAGTTGCAAAAGGACTGCATGTTGAGTGATTTCACTTATGTAAACTATGCAGAATGGCACATGAATGGAGACAGGAAGCAGAATAGAGATGGGGAATGTAGACGAACGAGATGGCCAGGAGGTGTGGAGTTTCTTCTGGGGGTTATGAAAATATTCTAGAACTGATTGTGGTGACCTCTACAGAACTCTACTACAGAATGTACTAAAGCTCCTGAACTGTACCCTTTAAACGAGTGAATTGAATGGTATATGAATGATACCTTAATGAAGCCATTTTTTAAAAAAGAAAAAAAAAAAAGATGGACACTTCAATCAATGCAGAACTTCTAGGGAGCCATTTGACTATAAACACCAAGAACTTTTGGGCCCCGGGGTGGCTCAGTCAGTTGGGCATCTGGCATCAGCTCAGGTCATGATCCCGGGGTCCTGGGATCAAGCCCCAAGTTGAACTCCAAGCTCAGTGGGAAGTATGTTTCTCCCTTTCCCTCTGCCCCTCCCTCACCCCGCTCATGCATGCACCAGTACTTGGGCATGCTCTCTCATAAATAAATAAAATCTTTAAAAAAAAAAAGTTTATATGTGTGAATATATGTAATATTTATATATTATTATATAATTATATTATATATATTTTTATATACACACATATACATATGTATATAAAAACAGCTTGAGAAAGTTCCAGATTCAAGAGGAATTGAGGACATGCTCATAGTAACAGAGAGAAAAGTCTCCAACAAGATGAGCCTGTAAAAGCCTTCAAGTTAAAGAATTACAATTTCCAAAGTTCATGAACTGGTTTCATCAGAATCACCTAGGGAGCTAGGCCAAAAGACAAATTCCAGAGCCTTATGCTGAGAATTTTTTTCTTTTTTTTTTTAATTTTTATTTATTTATGATAGGCACACAATAAGAGAGAGAGAGGCAGAGACACAGGCAGAGGGAGAAGCAGGCTCCATGCACCAGGAGCCTGACGTGGGATTTGATCCCGGGTCTCCAGGATCGCGCCCTGGGCCAAAGGCAGGCGCTAAACCGCTGAGCCACCCAGGGATCCCTGAGAATTTTTTTTTTTAAGTAAGTGCTACACCCAACGTGGGGCTTGAACTCATGGCCCCAAGACCAAGGATCGCATGCCCTACTGACTGAGCGGGCCAGGAGCTACCCGACCTTAAGAATTTTTATTCAATCAACTGCAGAGGTAGAGGGGAAGGGCGGGCATCTTTGTTTTTAAACATCCCCGGGTGGTGCTCCCTCCCGCAGCATATGTACTAAAATTGGAAAGATACAGAGAAGAAGAGCATGGCCCCTGCACAAGGATGACAGGCAAATTCATGAAGGGTTCCTTATTTTAAACAAACAAACGAACAAATAAACAAATAAACAAATAAATATCTACAGGTGATCCTGATGTCAGCCAGATCTGAGTAACTCTCAGATGAAAAAGGAAAGGAAAATCTATCACAGCAATAACACCTTCTGGAAAATCATTCGAGGAGTAATATGAGGGACTGAGGCCTCATATAATGATAATGAGGCCAAGACCTGCCTTTAATAAGCAAGGATCCGAGTTCTGAATTCTTACTGGGTCTTAGTGATATTAATAGACATTCATACATAAACTTTCAGTGCTCAAAATCATCACCTTAAAAAAAAAAAAAAAAACTTTATTGCTAAACAAAAACTTACCAAGAATCCTGACACCTGATACAACTTACCAGCCTCCCTAATATGTTTGTGGCATTTATGTCAGAATTCTGAAAAGGCTGAAATGATTGGTAATGTAAGTGGTCTTCTGTAATTTAGGTGCTCTTCCTTACCAACCCCATTACTCTCCTCAGTATTTGATTTTCCAGCTTCCCTTTGCCACATGCTCACAAGCTAATCTGTTCCATCCAGTTATGAGGAATATTTGAAATAAGCACTGTATGTAAATATGGATTTATGAGGAATATCTGAAGACTGAAAGATTGATACAAATGACTCATCCAATAACACTGAGTGCCCCTGTTTTTCAACTACAGATAATGGCTTTACGTAGCAGAAGCACATCGCCGCAGCTCCCTTTGTGAACGGTGGCATTGTTTCACAAGACAACTGGCAGGGGTACAAATACTACTGGCCGTGGCCCTGGCACACCTGGACACAGAAAGCTATCTGGCCCAAATATCTCAGGCTCTTTTGTTGAATTAGCAATTGCAGTAACGAAGTAGGGGACTGGCAGGTGGGTGTTCTGGAGGTCTGAAAAGCCTTTCTTACAGATGGTTCTCGGTGGTAACAATGACTCAACAATCACAATTCCAAGTACTTAGGATAAAATACTGGGTGATGTAAAGAGGTATAATCTTAAATACTAAGCTATTTCTTTAAATTCGAGGGCTTTAATGATTTAACTGGAAAAAAAAGAATATTAAAATTGGTTACAGGAAATTATTGTAGAACCCAATTTTCCTTATTTAACACTACATGTTTAATGCAAGAGAAAACAGTGTAACTACCTGTTCAAGCTACCTCAATTCCTGAAACACTATGTAGCCTTTTGTTCAAATAGGCTGAGCCACTGTGCTGACCCAGGATTAAGAAGCAAATTGATACTAGTTTGAAGTAATTCCTTTTATATCCAATTCACTTCTGCACACCACCAGCCCCCAGCAGGTTAATGAGGGTCTCACCTGCTGTTCACCATCAAGTTCTCATTCCTCAACCTCAGTCCTTTGTTTGCAAATTTAAATATTTTGCAACACAGAATGGTCAAAGACAAGCATTTAATGAAGGAGATGGTGAGCCCAGACAGATGACAGAGGGAGGCAGTTAATTGCCTTCAATGAAAACCCTATCTTGCCGGCACATAATTAAGACTTATATTCTCTATTCAACCTTCTTCAAATTTCAACCTTCTCCATCTTAATAAAACTAACTATAAGAGGCTACCATCCAGAATTGTCTTCTACAAGCCAGGACATTTCTTAAGTACAGAGCAGTGTAAAAATATTGAATGTGATGGCAAATAAAAAGTTATTTATCTTGACAAGTGAAATAACATCACCTGTCTTAGCTAAGTCACAGGCTCACCGTTAAGATATAGAGTGGGATGTTTGTTACAATAGAGTACAATAGCATAGAGTGTATTACAAATATTAATAACTATTTAAGTTATGATCACCACAGGCTAAGCATTAGATCATGAAGATATCTTACCCAGAAAAGTCTTAACTTCCAATCAAAAGCTACTTAATATTAAAAACAAAAAAAGGTACTTAATACATTTCCATTATTAAACCATTCATTTGGAAATAAGTATCTCTTAACTATAAGCCAGCGTTCTCTCAACTGACACATGACGTATTTCACTAGAAAATATATATATATTTCAAATTAAAATGGACAGAATTTTAAAACTCTGTGATTAGCATTTTCCTCCATGAAGAGACAAGGTAGTGGCATCCCACTGCTGTTTAGAAATCTCAGCCATATCTACTCTGCAAACACTTAGCTGAACCATTTCATTCAGATGCAGACATGTTGGATTCATTTGCAAATCCAGTGAAGTGGTTAATGGAGACCACAAAATTAGAATCCCCTAATGGATGCAGTTTTTTTTTTTTATTTTAAAACTCAGCATAATCATAGTCCATCTTAATGAAAATGTATACTGTGGAAATAATATTACTTAAGTAAACACCAGTGGAATAGTAATGATTGTAGCTATTTGCCATTTACTCAGCATCTATCGCATGCCAGGCATTATGAGATGGCTTTTAAATACTCAATTTCAGTCTCCACAACAACCAAAAATGTGTACCTGTCCAAGGTCATAGGGCTCCATAAGTAGGATTTGAACCCAGACGCCTTTGACTACAGAGTTTGGTCATTTCCCTCTCTGCTGCACAGCTTCCTCCTACGCAAAACTGCCAGAACTCAAGCCTGGCTGGGATCTGCTTCTGTCCCCTTGGCCTCCCACCAGATGATGCAATCACTAAGCTGGGCTTGATCTCAAAGGAACCCGGGGAGGTTATAATTTACCAAACCCACAGGGAGTTTTAAATGCGCAAATTAGTCCATAAACCAGATTAGTTGAGGTAACTACAAAGCTATAGTGACCCATTATAAAAATCAAATAATAATATTTATTAAATGCCTAGTCTGTGCCCAGCATTGTTTTAGGAACTGAAGAACAGACTGGATGAAAGATTTTGTATTAAAATTTTCAGCAGAGGGAAGATATAAATAACATTAATTCACTGTTGTACCAAGACAAAAGCTACCTTTGTGCACAGAAGAGAACATAGCAGCCCTCAAATATTAACTGAGTCAACTCATATCAGGAAAATTAATTACTCCAAATACGTTTTCTGATTATCTCATATATATGCATTTCTCTAGCAGGGGAACTGCTGGGTTTTAGAGTCCACATATCTTTGACCTTCTAGATAATTCCAAACTGCTTTCCAAAGTAGTCATACCACTTTATACTCCTATCAGCCAGGTAGGAATGTTCCTATTGCTCAACAGCTTCAGGATTCGGTATTGCTAACTGTGATTTACGGATATGGTTATATGACACTGTGGTTGTAATTTGCATTTCCTTGATTATTGACAAGGTTGAACACCTTCTTGTGCATTTATTAGACATCTGGATAGCTCCTTTTCTGAAATGCCTGCTCAACACTTCTGCCCATTATCTAATTAGTGCAGGTAACATCTTATTTAAGATTCGATATTCAAGATCTATACTGAGGTCATGAATACATTCTCCAATATTAACTTCTAAAAGCTTTATTGTTTTGCCTTTCATCTGCCAAGCTTCCTGGGTCATAAGTTTTTGAATACATATGAATCTGTTTCTGGACACCTCATGGCACCCTATTGATCAATTAGTCTATCCTGGTGCCAATACCACATTGTCCTAATTATTACAGCTCTTCTTGAGCTCCAGTAAAGATGGTTTCCAATTTGTTTCTACTTTTTCAAGAGTCGCTGGCCTTTTCTTGGGCACTTACTGATAATTTTAGTATCAGCTTGCCTTTTTATTAATTTGTTGGGATTACATTAAATCTCTGTTTCCAAAGAATTGCCACTTTGCAGTATCAAATCTTCTGATCCTTGAACCAATGTATCTTCTTCATTTATTTATGTTTCACTTAAAGTCATTCAATAAAGTCTTCAAATTATTTTTTGTAAAGGTCTTTTACACATTTTTTGTTAGACTTAAAATATATCTCCAAGAGTTCTTTTCAAAGATTTTATTTTTAAGCAATCTCTACACTCAGTGTGAGACTCGAACCCACAACCCCAAGATTGAGTCACATACCTTAGAGACTGAGCTAGCCAGGTGTCCCATATCTACTATAATTTATAACTGGTGAAAAACCACAGATCTGAAAAAACATACAGTTTTTATTTTTTTTTTTAAGTAATCTCTACACATGGGGCTCAAACCCACAATCTTGAGATCAAGAGTCACATGCTCCATTGACTGAGCCAACCAGGGACCCCAAAAAGATATATTTTTTAATGATGTATAAAAAGATACCATTTTTAAGATTTTATTTATTTACTTATTTATTTGAGAGAGAGCGAGCATGTATGAGCACAAGCAAGGAAAGGAGCAGAGGGAGAGGGAGAGAGAATATCAAACACATACCTCATTGAGTGCAGAGCCCAATGCAGGGCTGTCTCACAACCCTTAGATCATGTCCGGAGCCGAAACCAGGAGTCGGGACACTTTACTGACTGAGCTACCATGCACCCCAAAAGATATCGGTTTTTTTTTTTTTTGATGAGACACCTAGATTTTGGAAAAACTCATATATAATTCATAAATAAGCATGAATATAAATGCTCTTAAAAATTTTAATGAAACGAAGTTCATCAAAGTATAATTTCTGTTGCATATAATTTATTCTCATTTTCTGTTTTTTGTTTTTTGTTTTTCAGTTAATCTCTACCCCCAACATGGGGCTCATACCCACAACCCCAAGATCAAAAGTCACATGTCCCACTGATTGAGCCAGCCAGGCTCTCCATAATTTGGAGGCCGGGAGGGGCTGTTGTTTTTTAAGAGTTTGTTTATTCCAGAGAGACAGAGAGACAGGGTGTGAACAGAGAGGGGCAGAGGGGAAAGGAGAGGGCGAAAGAATTTGAAGCAAACTCAGTGATGAGCACAGAGCCCAAAGGGGGCTAGATCCCACCACCCGGAGATCATGACCTGAACTAAAACCAAGAGTTGGATGCTAAATGACTGAACCACCCAGGTGCCTCCCTATAATTTAATTTTAATTCTAGAATTAACATTTCATGGTTATATCATATCTCACTTCAACAGGTTTCATGTACTCGACAAAACTTACATGT